TCGGTGTCCGCCAGCAAGGCACTCCCGGCAAGCGCGCGAAGCATGACGCGGCCAAAGCCGATACCAATCATCCTACGCGGGTCTCTGTTTCCCGGGTTGGGTTTGGGCTGTTTGGGTTTGGTCGGGTTCTCGGGCTTGTCGGGGTGTTCCTGGGCGGGCCATCTCGCTGGTCGCCGGTCATGGGCCTGGAGGCGTGCTCGTATCGTCCGTACACGAGTGCATGTGCAAGGGTTCCTGTCAGGTACAATGAGGTGCAGCAGGTCAGGTCAGCCAGAGAAGCCCTAGGTAGCAGGTTGCTTGTGTGCTTCCCCCTGGGTACGCCTGAACCCGTGGGTTGTGCACCCTTTGCCCTAGACCCTTCACAAGGTACCCGTGTGCAGCGGTACCGGCTCGAGACTAGCTCAAGAGCCGCTTGCAGGTCCCCGGCCCTCACTTTCTCGGCCTCCTGCCTTTCTGTCCCCCGAGCGCTCCTTAGGAGCAACTGGTACCGTACTTCTTTACTAGGTACCCGTGGCGGGCCTAGTACACGGGTCAGGTTCTGTTGCTGCTAGGCACCCGTGGCGGGCCTAGCCTTTCTGGCCGCGGGTCAGACCTACTTGCTGCTAGGCGCCTGTGGCGGGCCTAGCTTGTCTGGCCGCCCGGGCCAGGCAGCCTGCCTTTGCTTTCCCTCGCCCCGCCCATCGGCGGGCCGAAAGGTCGCCATGGGCGGCCGCGGAAAGAGATACGGCAAAGGGTGCCAGGGAAAATTTCGCCGGAGCCTTGAGGACGACCCCTGGGATTGCGAAAAGAAGATAGTCAACTGTCTTCGCCATGGGACCCCTGGCATGTCCGGGTTCTTTCTGCAAGGCGAGTACTTGCCAGCACCCGACCTTAGGGCGCAGCTCGGCATCTCGGAGCGGGCCTTCCAGGCCGCCCTTGATGTCGATACTCGGAATGACCGCTCCCGCCTTGACATGCGCGCTCTGGCGCAGGGCAGGATCCGCGCCTACCAGGGCCATAGTGCCGACTGCGGACACGATCTCGATCATATGGGTCCGGTATTCGGAGGCCGCGCTTCGCAGCGCTGTTGCGCTATCAGGCGCGAGTAGCGCTGCGACCCGGCCTCCAGGGCCCACGCCCGAAGGATCTGCTGCGGAACAATGGTCCCCGTAAGCACGACCCCCCGGGCCCCTTGATAACAAGGGACGCCCTCGTTCGCCAAGGTATGAATCGACGCCTGGATGAGGGCGATGGACCCTGCCCGGAATCCTCGCTGGGATCTCTCCCATTGCTCGGATGGGGTTCCGGTGACGCAGTGACACGCTAGGCGACCTGGAACAACGCCATCCATGACGGGCGCTTCTGCAAGGAGCTCCTCTGCTCCCTTGCGTTCGACCGGCCGCTTCGCGGGCCGTGAGGTCGCGAGCGGTGCAGGTCCTCCCTCCGAGCTCCCTGACACCCGGCCACGGGTGAAGGCGCTACAGAAGGCCCGGCCTGGCGAGCCTGCTTACATCCCGCCAGGTCAGGTCGCCATAGAGAAGAAGACACCGCCCATCCCGCCAATTCAAGGACCAAAAGTGCGGACCGTGAAGGCCTCCCCCTATGCGGCGGGCGGGTCCTCCGCCGCCCGTAGGCCTTTGGTCTCGCCACCCATCCTGGAGCGGGGCGAGCTTCGTGAGATGCGCCGCCTTCAACAGAACGTGCTTGGCACTGGGCGTGCCGCAGGAGTCTCCCTTGAGCAGGCCTCTGACTTCTTGAGCCCGTCAGGACCGGTGTCTGGCGGGCCTTTGGTCGCCGACCCGGTTCCTCCTCCTGACGAGGAGGAGGCGCCAAGAGCCGACGCACCAATGCCTCAGGCGCCGGCTAGCCCTTCTCCTGAGCCTCAGGCTGAGGCCATCGCCGAGGCAAAGGCCAAGGAGGCCGCTGCTAAGG